ACGAAATTGACGTTGAGTAGAAATGAAAGTCAAATTATTCTTCAAAAAAGTCTCTATGACAAAGGCACGATGTTGCGGTAACCATTGATGATCCATAGTAACTATACACTAAATGGCATCAAATAAACTTTCTTTTGCCGCATCAATGAACTTTCCACCATTCATAACAGCTGAGTAATAACATTTTAAAATTGTCCCTGTTTTTTTGGTCAACCCTATTATATAATACGTGAAGCCGTTTTTTGTTAACGCAACTCCTCCCTTATTTGTGGACCAATTTCAACGTTTAAGGTGTCAAAAGATTCGTCTCATATTATGTAGTTTTGCAATAAGGTTTTAGAATTCATATAGTCTAGTTGCCAAAAGGCATTTTTCACCCAAACCTGAAAGTAAGGTCCACCCAATGTTTTTTAGTGTTTTCTGTTTCTTTAAGACCTACATAATTAAAATCTGCAGGGTGCCACTTTGTCACCCTTGAGCAAATTGAAATATTCAAAATGGTGGCCAAAATGGCTTAAAAACTGTAGGCCTATATTTGCTGTATCTTTCCCTATAGAAGAGACAGGATAATAATTTTTGTGTCTAATTTTATGTTTTAAGGGCACACAACAGATTTTTCAGATAATTTTTACGACTTCCTTAATTTATTACTAGGGTAATTATGCAATCAAAATCCCATTTGACATTTTATCTTAATAAACAAATCATTTTATAATTGATATAAAAAATATAAATACGTTTATTTTGGATTTCCACTTTCTGGCTCGTATCATGTTTGACAATGAGAACAACTCTCTGTCAACTCCTGTCAAAGGATTATGGTTTGCTTATACAATTGTATCTGCAGTTTGAGTTTGTTGTTTCAGTTCATTATGAAATCATTTTCAAACAATCTCATTGCCTTTTAGGACCTATATTGCAGGTTGTTTAGGTTTGTTTATTATGATTTATACTTGATTCATAGAGGAAACAGTATTTTGATAATCATTTTGCGATTTTTCAACATGAACAACAACATGTAAGCTTGTGTTGTGATGTCCCTCAAGAGTATATTGGCTCTCCTAAATAATCATGCCTGGGTCATTTGATTCTTTGGAAGAAATTGTTATACTGTGACAATTTAATTAAGCTGTTTAGTAGGCTGTGTGTTAAGTTAATTTTGAGAATGAAAAATCCATTCTGGGTTAATCAAATTGTATTTGTCTTATTGTCTTTTCTTGATTTCAGAAAGAGCTTTAAATAAATGTTATTAATCTTAAAATAGATATAAAAATAATATATATATATATATAGGATAGGCCTGGTAATAATTTTGGGACTGATATAAAAATTTTACAACTATTTAAGACGGATCAAACTCGGAAGTGTATTAAGGGGTGATTTAGGTAAATATCTAAAATTTAATGTAGGTACTCCAAATTGTAAATTTTGACATGTCTTTTACTTTCTCCCCCGGTAAAAGAATTGTTTATGTAAAAAAAATCGAGGGTACTTACGTATTAAACGGAGGCCACCTAACCTACAGATTCGATTCGATTAGTAAACCTTCACCATCAGCAAGTTTGGTTGGTTAGGTTGGGTTAAGATAGTTTAATTTGATAAAAAAACATATATTTATGATAACCCAACCTAACATAACCGCTGCAGCGCGCTGTAAAATATGTGGCCTCCGTATAATACGTAAGTACCAAATCGAGTTTGAGTTTTGGATGGATATATCCGTTTCTGTCCCCCTGATCCCAAAAAAGTGGTTTTGAAGTGATGTCTGTGTGTGCCTGTCTGCATGTGGGGATGTGTACAGAGCTACAGATCACACCTGTGGTCCGATTTTGATGGATTTTGATGATGTTTTGGTGTGTAGGTTAGGTACTAATCTATAGTCTCTCCAGGGGTTTCTCATTTTTAATTGCGATTTTTCATAAAAGCCCATAAAATAATGGACAAATCAATTTTTCTCAGAATTGGCCTGAACGATTTTGATTAAAATATCGCCAGCATCATTGGATTCTCATCCGCAGACGACGACTTTTCGGCCCCGCCAAGTCCCCCAGCGGTACACAGCTGCTGCAGTGTATATATACATGACGCGACAAAGTGGTTTTTTTACTCGTCTATAGCTCTGAAGAAACAAAAGCTATTAAAAAAATTATTCATCTACTGGATAGGGGCACTCATTCTCAACAAAATAAAAAAAAAATTAAAAAACGGTTGTGTTTGAGACAAGAAAAACTAGTTTGAAAATTCACAAATTTTCCGCGTTCTCCTTCTTCTCCTCGAACGTTGACGGACCTACAGCCCAAACCACTGGCTCAATTTTAATGTTTTTTATGTTGTTTGAAAGCCCTTAACGTGTAGATGCGCCTTTTGAGGGTCTCAAGTCGGTGCGTTGGCCCATAAACCCTTGGCAAGCCCTCAAAGTACGATTTTGGCCCATTTAAATAACATGGGATTAAAATCAAAACAAAAGAAGGACCAGCTGCGATTAAATCTCAATTAATTTAAATGCTAGAGAAATAAATAGGAACAGCTGAAAAATTATTTTAAAACTTTAATAAAGTATTTTTTTTCAGGTATACCGAATGATTTGAAGTACTTACTATATAAAATTACTTAGAGCAGTGATATTCCCCGATACTTTCCATTGAAAAATTCAGTGTACCGATAGTACACTGGTACAGCTGAGCAGCTCGTCATTTTAACAGTTTAATACTACTTATCAAAACATATGAAACCTAGGAACTTGAAACTTAGTACTATTTATGTTTTGATACACTAAAACAGATAAATTAATCGGGAAAATCACTCTACGTATGTTAAACAAGCAATTAAAAAGTGATATGTAAATTTAGGATAAATGAGTTTTTCAATATTCGTTTTGCCTTATGCTATTTCTAACACACCTAATCTGTTTACATTTTTACTTCTATAATAAGGGCTCAATTTACACTAGTCTTTAGATATACGGGTTTAATCAGAACACTTATGTAACACCAACGCATTTTATGTTGTTCAAGATGACCATTGATGAAATTTGAAACTGACCTTAAGCCCAGGGGGTTTGTTAAATAGTAATTTTGGTACGTGTGTCAAAAAGTTTTTAATCGGTTTAATGCAGATAAGACCAAAAATGTATAATTTAGCTCTACACAAACAATATTATTGAAATTAAATGAGATGTAGTTGTGCCGTGGTCTATATATCAGAGAAAAGAGGATTTTTATTTTAACTGTTGATTTTCTACAAAAATAAATAAAATCTAACAAAAAACCACTAAGTGGTAACACTTTTCCCGCCAAGTCAACAATCCAAAAAATATAATAAATCATTACTTTTTCCGCCAAGAAAAACAATGTAATGTATGTAAGTTTGGCAACTTGGCGGCAGACTTTTGCTCGATCACTTTAAAAATGCCATAAAACTAGTTTCATTGAGCAAGTATCTCTCCCATTAGTACATTGCTAGGTGAGAGCTTATTTTTAAAAATTTGACCTTATTTGTGCCACATTTCATAAAATCATAATAGTGATGGTTTTATATTTACTGATTACCTCGAAATTATTATACTTAGTTGGACTAATTAATTAGAGAAGTTGATTTGTGAAACTATCCACGAACGTAGGCTAACTTTAATGAAAAATACCCCCGCCGCAGCAAACCTACCGACTAAGCGAATTTCCTTGTCTGAATTGATATTCAGTTAAATATATTTTAATAACATTAGGTTTAACGAGTACCTAGGTTTGCTGCTACAAGGAAACTAATAAAGTGTTTTTTTGAGTAAAATATTGATAGCTTAGTACAAAATAAATAAATTTGCCAAGTTTGATCAAAATATATCCATAAACAAGCAAACTACAACATTTGACAATATTCTCCATAAGAATAACATGGGAATTTTAAATTTACAATTTTTTTAATTTTCTCCGTTACTAGTAATCGAAGAAAAATACTTTTATATACTAAATTATTTGTTTTTTTAAGCTCTTTAAAAAGGTCTAAAGAGAAATCGGGAAATTTTGTGTTTTGAGGGTCAAAAGTGAGAAAAACCAATTTTTACCCCATAAAACCCCCCGTAAAGCCCCGTTCCCATGGTCCGATCGTGCTGGTTCGCGAACTCATTCAAGTTTATCCCGCTTTACACCTTTAAACCAAATTTCATCAAAATCGGACAAAAATTACTCAAGTTATCGCGTTCACGGACGTATATATATATATATATATATGTCTATATATATATATATACATATATAAAAATTTGAACGAATGGTGTTTTTGGCCTCTGGGGACATCAAAATGAAAAAGTAAATCGGTCCCGGGTCTAGGTCTTACCGTGCCACCTACGGTAATAGCTACTTCCCTATAGGGAAATTCGCTAAAACCAAGCAAAAGTCTGCCGCCAAGTTGCCAAACTTACATACATTACATTGTTTTTCTTGGCGGAAAAAGTAATGATTTATTATCTTTTTTGGATTGCTGACTTGGCGGGGAAAGTGTTACCACTTAGTGGTTTTTTGTTAGATAAAATTATTGTAAAAATTTGTATGCTAGCAATAAATATAATATATTTTGAGTAAAATGTAACTTCTGTAAAGAGGTTAGTCAGATTGACATCAACATTAGTTTTGTTTGTGACAGGTAAATTTTTGTTTACAAATTCCTACAATATTACAGTGCCGAGTTTCCACGTATTAGTATAAAAATAAACCATTCCATTCAATAGAAATTAAATTATCAACTACTACTGTAGTGCTAAGCATTATTCATGTTAATTCTTTGAAATCATTATTTCCTTACATCCCACAACTTTCTTAAACAAACAATACGTCGAAATCTGAATGAAACTACTCCTGTACAAACACAAACCAACTTTTACGCACCGCAATGAAAACCAAATGAACCCTGACCACCTTAACTGCGCTAATCAAAGGGAACGTCCATTATCATTATTAGGTCAGATAAGTTTTGAGGTTATGTTCATTTAGCTCAGTTTGTTTAGTTGTTTCCCGTTGTGCGTTCAGAGTGTCAAGGCTCTGTGTAATCTCGCATTAGCGTACTCTGTGTAGAATATTCACGGGATAAATCATCTGTGAATGACAGGTATCATCTGTCATTTGTAGACGTTCACCTTGCCGATGATAACGATAGTGATGAATAATCATTGGCTGTGACTAGCAGAAAGCCAGCCTAGTCCGTCACCGACTGTCTTCCCGTCAAGTGAAATGCCGCTAGTGTTCGGGTCGGAAAAGGTGCCTGAAGGTATGTCAGTTTAATTCAGGGTTTGGGTGGTGATTCCGGTGAGCAAGTTTTTTATTGGACGATTCCGGTTCCTACGGTTTACTAAGTGTTAAAGCTTTTCGCTGTTGAAATCGTGAAATATTTTAATGAAATCAGCCTAAAACTATGAAAAGTTTTTCGTCGTGTTTATATTTATTAGGACATTATGAGTATGTTGGCCTTCAGTTGCTAGTGCTATACAAATTTAAAAATAAATGTGCCAAACATTCATACAAACATTGTAGAAGTATACACAAAAGGTTCAATTGGTAACTACAATGTTCAATCTGTTTGAAAGTGTATCACTAGAAAGTTGTTACGTATTTACGTGGGTTTAAACTACTCTAATGTTAAAGGCTATTGGAAGACGAATTTAATTTTTTCGGGAATATAGATGGCTAGGGACCCACAAGTAGGTACCCCTAATACAGCAGCACAGACAAAACTGACGTAGATGTTACTCTAGCTAACCTCTTTACAGCAAATTCATGAACAAATTAATGTGAACAGGTAATTTTACTAATCAACTACAACTGCATGCCTGTTTTTATACACTGTTGACTACAATTTTTTTTTTTTTTTTTCAATATAGGCTACATAAAATCATCATAGGAATATGATATAACTCCAACCATATTTTTAACATCAGCTTTGACTCAATCTAAATTGTTATTCTTGTTATATATTTATTTAATGTTCTGGTTACTTATCAATTTGTTGTCAAATCTTGTTTTCTTTTCAAAGTTTATCTCTGTTATATCTCTACGAATTTGTTGTCTCATCTTTTGGCCATCTGAAACACGTGTTTAAAAAATGTAAAATGGTGTAGGCTATGCCGTTGGTATTGTAAAATAAAAAAAAATGGTATCAGTATCAAAAATGAATGCATAAACTGCCATAACCTCGTAAGCTAGACATGTTGACCAATTTTTGTGCTTCTTGCTGAATGAAGTACAAATGAAAATTTAACGTTTTAAGCAAACGATACAGTGAAAATAGGCCTTTTAAAAATATGCGTCGTTCTAGTTAGATAAATATTAATCCAAACACTGTAATTCATAAACTTTAAAAATTTTTGTGAATATAAAAAAACCTACTTGCTATCAGTAAGTCAGTAGTCCAATCGATATTGTGGAATAACAACTAAAAGGTGATTGTTTTCGTGTACACTCAAAACAGTTCAAGTTCCACAGACAATTATTGCAATTCTTGGGGCACGTGTGTGAGGTCATTACTCATAACAATACGTTTCATACTCCAATTAAAAATTATATTTTGCTTGGAATAAATGGGTCAGTTACAAACATAAGTTTTGTTGTGAATGTTGTGATCAATGTCTACCCTATCACAAATCAGACGGAAGTCTAATGTGACGTCAGCATTTCTGTAAACAACGTTTAGAGCGAAAAGTCCGAAGTGATTTGATAATGGAGTTGCAAAACAACACTAATTTGCACTCTGTATTTTTGTTTAAACCTTTCAAATCGACGGAAATAACTTTACGTTTGTCCGCCAAGCTATCAGGTTCTAACACCGCCGAAGACAAAGATTATAACTGACCATGATGGCATTAAAACCAACTAGGCAACGAGTATATTCACCTATGAAATTTTAATATTGTAAGAAATAATTGTTATTAAAAGAGGGTGAGATAGCTATGCTGTGGGCTTACTGCAAATAAGCTAAATAGTATTGCAAAGGAAAATTAATTAATGACTCAATTAATTAATGACAATACCTATTTTGAGAACAATTCTTTTGGTTCCTCTGTTGTTATGTCGAAATAATTAGTCGTTAAACCAAGTCTAAAGGCGGTTCTTTTTGACAATGATTGAAAAAAAACTTATTCTATTAAATCAAGAACAATAAAAAAACTATCATGCACATACCACGTAATAGCAGTTTGATTCATGACAATTGAATCACTATTTTTGGCTACTGACCTGAATGATGCTGTTTAAGGAAGACCTTGTTGAATTAAACATGGCCAAATTTAAGAAAACAAAGCAAATTAGGTTGTAAACATCGAGTAACCTATTCAAGACTTTTAGTATTGTTAAAATTACTATATTGTATTTACTAATAACTAAACTAATAATATACAATCCTTTTTTTAAATTTCTGTCTGGGGTGTGTAAAATGTTATTTTCTATATTTACACTTTTAGTTGCTCAAGGTTTTTTTATGTTATACAAAACATGTAATAAGTTCCTAGTGATTATTTTCGAGCGAAATACTGTACTATCTTTTTATATTGACAAAACACAAGAACAACAACTTAATTTATTCTGATGCTGACAAGTTAAAGTATTTCAGTTGTATCTATTGACACTACTGTAAGTTTTGGTTGAAAATTACTGTAAACAGTATTATTACAGCAACGTACGCTTTTTAGAGAAATTTTCATTAAAAGTATTTTTGAGCATACGAACGTCATAAAGGGATAGCGGGAAGGTAGAAAAAAATTAAGACTTTTAATGGGATCCAAAATATCTAACTATACTTAAACTTAACCCTCTGCAAATATTTCTAATACACTATTGGAAACTCTTAAAGATTTACAGTGTCATTTATGGTATCTTCTTACTGTTTTGTGCATCACGTTAGGGTTTGTCAACACATTTGTCCAATTCATAACAACACAGTTCGTGCTGCAGAGAAAATATATACATCCCATATGGATAAAACCGGTTACGACTTTAATTAGGTCCAAATGTTTATTCAAATATCTACAAATTGTTGATAATTATTGCGTCTCGGTGTAAGCAAGAGATCAATACATAAATATCAACAGTATTTGGTTGTCTAGTTACTCTCACAGTTATGGTCATTGCATCTTAACTGTAGACAAACCAAGGGTGAAACTGTGACCTTGGCAAGGTAGTTCGACCATTTCGTCAGCAAAATACACAAACATAGTATCACGGATGAAGCGTGCCCCACGTACAGTCAAGGTCTTTGATGATTCAGCTAGAATCAACTCATCTGTCATCCGAACAGTAGAGTTCTTTAAAACGGTTAAATATTTTCCGAAGGAGATATGCCTCCTTCTAAAACTTTTTTAAATTATTTATTTAAAATGGTTTTTTGGGTTTATTCTGTTTCTACTTCACCAAATTAGAGGATTTATATAAAAAAAATTTATCCACGTCGATTTTGGGTCACATTAAGGTAACTTTAAAAATTTTAATAATAAAAAAAATCAATTTTGAATTACTTTTTTTTATTAACATAATGAAAAAAGTAAATATATTTTACTTTCCCACATAACAATGAACATTTATGTGTATTGAAACTATGGTACCTCAACAAATACAGCTTTAGTAGACCTGTTTACAATAATATGAAAAATGTAACAAAATCAGATTTTTAATGTAAAACATTAAAATTTATAGGAATAAATAATTGCTGAATGTTTTTTTTTATACACACAAACCTTCCAAATACTACCAAGAACATCTGGTTAAAATTGCATTGAAAAATAATATGTAGTTTTAAAGTTATTCAAACTTACGAAAATGCAAACTTACGTTGATTAAAAACGTAGTTTTGAGAAAACGCCGTTTAGAGTTTTCATTTCATTGATTATTGCTAGGCGCAATGTTTTCAATTTTATTTTAAAAATCACTGAAAAAATTCGCCAAATCAAATAAATCTTTGCATACATGTTCAATAATAAATAAGGAAAAAATTGTCACTTTTAAAAACCTCAAAATAATTGATAAAAAGTCCTATAGATGGAGGCATATATACCCTTCTATCACGATATAATCCGTCTACCATTGTTGTTAAACCAGCTGATCTATAATCAGCTGTATTTCAATTGTGATTGTATATGCCTAACAGCTGATCCATTTTATTATAAAATATGTTAGTCACTTGTAATCCTGTATTGCGTTTGCTATTTCGATTAGTCAAATACGTCAAATAAACAATGACCTGCCTACTTTCATTTGACCGATTATCTGAATTTGTTTAACGAGTCATATAGTATTTACTAGTCTTACATCAAAAGATTTGACAATTAGATAGATTAGAACATCTACAAAAACCTTATCACGCATCCGCGTGAATCCATTCATCGCTCTCCTGTTATTAGCGAATTTCCCATATAGGGAATAAGCTATTACCGTAGTACTCATGGTAAGACCTGGACCCGGGACCGATTTTTTTTTTCGTTTTGAGGTCCCTAGAGGCCAAAAACACCATCCGTTCAAATTCATATATATATATATATATATATATATTTATATATTATATTTATATATATATATTTATATATATATTTATATATATATATATTTATATATATATATGTGTGTCCGTTAGCGCGATAACTCGAGCAAAAATGATCCGATTTTGATGAAATTTGGTACCAACGTGTAAACCTACGTTTATTCGAACGAGTTCGCGAACCAGCATGATCGGACTATGGGAACAGGGGTTTATGGGGGCTTTTATGGGGTAAAAATGGGTTTTTCCTATTTTTGACCAAAAAAACATAAAATTTTGAAATTTCTTTCCAAACTATTTTGTAGAGCTTAAAAAAACAAATAATTTAGTATATTGAAGCGTTATAATGCGCCTAATGGTTACGGAGAAAATTCCAAAAAATTGTTAATTTAAAATTCCCATGTTATTCTTATGGAGAATAAGTAAACCGTTGTAGTGTGCTTGTTGATTAACATATTTTGCCCAAATTTGGAAAATGTTTTTATTTCTTACTAACTATTAACATTTTACATAAAAAAACACTTTTACCCTCCCTGTTGCAGCAAACCTAAGTATGTGTAAACTGATTCTATTTAAATAGGGAATAAATGTGATATTTTTAAGGAGACATTTTAGTCTAAATCCAATCAGGCAAATGGAAATTCGCTTAGTCTGCAGGTTTGCTGCGGCGGGGGTATAATCCATTGAGAGTTTTTTAGTTACTTTGAGTGTATCGAAAAACCTCCTTGCTTTCCAAACCTTGTGTCAAA